GCAGATTGACACATTGCCAGGCTGTTGAAGGGCAACAATTTGAACATTTGTTGTGAATTATTTGATACAATTGAATATTTTGCCCAAGCTGACCAATTGGAATGAAATTCGCCTTAACTGGCCGGACTCACACGCCACTCTTGTCTTAATTGGCCGGAATTACACGCCACTCTTGTCTTAACTGGCCAGACCCACACGCTACTGTAGCCTTAACTGGCCGGTATCACACGCCATTTAACAAATTGTTAATTTCAAACCTTTATAACTCAAAAAGTACTTAATTTTTGGGGAAATTTTTGGGAGAGGTCCCGGGTTCAAATCCCAGACGAGCCCCCAAAATTTCTATGTGCTGTTACGTCCTGTTTATTTTCGGTCCCATAACATTCCTTGCTAGAGATTAGCGGACCGCCTAGATTATTTATGTTTTTATTCGCGAACCAAACATCCGAACTACTTGTTGATTAATTGACCGGTATTCTTTTGACAGTCGTAAGAGTGATTATATAAAAAATTGCAATACGGGTCTGTTTATCTTAGTTCAATAGGTTCTCTGTTCTCTGCTCAAGGATTGTTATTTAAAAATTAATTCTAAGTCGCAAATCTTAAAGCTAATTTATGTCTGGTTCCAAACAGAAGGGGACCGTGGAGTCCAGGACGTAACAATACTTTATCTATATATTCAATGTTTCTCAATATTCTAAAAACTTTTAAAGTATCACAGTTAGGTTAGGTCATATTAATAATTAGTAAAAATACATAATGCATATTGAGATGGGTTTTTATTATTACTAATATTGTGTATTTTTTTCAAGATTACAAATCTTGAAAAAGCATTTCACGTTGTCATACGCAACAAGCGCGCAACGTGCTTCGTGTATCAGCCCGGCTTGGTGGAAAGAAGACGGAACATAGTATATCTGCACTTTTCCACGAGCGCATACGGACGGCGGTTCTCGCTTGTGTGCGTATCCTCACCACTTCGGTGCTTTTGGTGGTGGCGGGCTCGATCTATACGACAAAAGACCGGTAACGTGAGAGACAGCGGGAGTAGTCCATCTCACTCAGTGTTGTTGCAAAGTCGCGTTTTCGCGCGCGCACTGCGCTGCTAGAAGAAGTCAGTAATGTACATATATATGCACAGAAACGAGGGGCCCCGATATGTACAGTTTTTGCGGGATCTCGCAGTAAGAACTGACAAAGAGAGCGCACGATGTGTGACCAATCGATTTCGCTGAAACTTTTTGTATCGATATGCCTAGTGTTACAAGGTAAACGCATAAGACGCACTAGTCAAGCGTTCGCGAGAAAATTGCAATTAAAAATTTTCGAGCGATTTAAGTAGATATGAAATAGAGCGCTTTACCGAAGAGCGCGTGGCGAAGCGGTAGCGCGCTAGAATAGTAGTGGCGGTAAAACGTTGCTGGTTCGAGTCTCGGGGTAAGTAACTTTTTTTTTTTTTAATACAATTACTTTGTATATTATAATGCAATTGTTCTTCAAAATAAATGTAATTAATAAATTTTTCATTGTGTTTATAATAAGTAATAACATCAGAAGATTAGTGCTATACAAATAAATGTGAAACGTGTTTTTTACCTATATGATGTTTATTTTTATAGACAAATAAATAACTTTATCAACTTTATCTGCAAAACTGTACAACCTTACTAGAACAACAGCGCGAAATATCTCGCGAGGATTGTATCAAAATTCACTCTTATTATACATCATCAATTGTCCCCTCCAAGTTTTGCAAATATGTTAAAATATGCGTGGTTTGCATCTAAATTAACAGATGAAAGAGAAGTCTTTATGAATGTAAATGAAGTTTGCTTTCCATTAGATATTTTAAAAACACCTTGTGAATGTAAAAATGTAGCATTTGTACAAAACGCACATTGTCGACAAAATTATTGTTTTCATTGTTTCTATGATAAATTTTATCAAGCAACATGTAATGTGCCTTCTTGCAGTTAAAGAAACCACGTTTTACGTTTCTCGTATAGCATTGATTCTTCCGATGTTATTATTAATTATAAACACAATAAAAAATTTATTACTTACATTCATTTCGAAGAACAATTGCATTATAATATACAAAGTAATT